ATAAGTTACATCTAAAATTTTTATATAGAACAAAATTTGGTTAATTGAGTTTTTGGATAATTGGTTTTTCAGGTATAAAGTTAGACAAAAGTTGAATATATGAGCACTATATTTTTGGTTCTCATTAGGATTTATCACACTTGAAGGAGTTGTTGGAATCACATAGAGATCAATGAACATTTGATATTTATTGCAACAACTGTTTGTGTTTCGGGCAGTTTGAGCTATCCTTCAGCTGTTCTTATTACAAAATGTAAATTATAAACATGTAATCTACTATAATTGTAAGACAATCTATTTGGAGTGAATAATGTCTTAGTGTTAATAATAGACTATCCAAAAAATATTCAATTTTTGATTTTACAGGCATATAATTTATAATTGTATAAACTAAAATAGCACGTTTGATTTTCAAATAATCCATCAAATAGAAAATATAGTTTAGTCATACCTACATTTACAGCCACTGATACAATTATGACTAAAAATTAACAATATGGTTACTCAGTTCTTTATCTGTTTTGCATATTCTTATTGGTATGCAATTTATAACTTGTTTGGTCATATCCTTGGCATTTCTACCATTGACACAAAAAACAAGAAATTAAGCAGTGAAAAATAATAAGTTAAATATTACATTCATAATTTATTGACAGTTCAAAACAAATTTCCATCTGCTTTTATTGTTGTTTTTGTCAAACTGTGCAGCTATTTTAAAATTTCACTTATGTTCAGATTCAATAGAAATGTGTTCAATACACTACCTACAGGTAATGCTTCAAGCTTTATGAAATTCATACATTCATAATATGTAACATGGATTGTAGAAGGCAATAGAAGAATAATTTACATGGATATCTTCGAAGACTTATTACAGTTTTATGCTGTGTTTTGTATACTTAGTTTTTTAATCAATAATTGTTATTGATAGTATCAGATATAACAGAAATATGAATATTGTTTCATATTAAATTTGCTTGCAGTTAAAAGATAAATATAAGTAATGCATATTTTTATTAAAATTGTATACTTTTCTAGAGAAAGATTCTTTATGTTAATAACAATAATTTTATTAAGGTAAAAGCTATAAATTTTAATTGTACAAATTTTGATACCATTTTGTAAACTGTTATAAACAAAATTGCTTTCTCCTGTAAACTAAATTTTCTTTAGACTTAAAGGAATATTTTTGACAATTTTAGACTGTTTAGATTTTATTTACAAATGTTTGAAAATGGAATATCTATTACAAACATACAATAAGTTAACAAAACTACATTTAAATATAAAACTTAATTAAATGCTTAAATATAAACACGATGACAACATGATAGCAAAATGTTTTAATTTATTTTTGAAAGTGTGAAAGAAATAATTAATAATGTTATGTTGTTAAGAAGGTGTTAAATTGCTTACATTTTGAAACCACATGTGTCATTAGATTGACAAAGGTTATGTTGCAGATTTCATAAACCAGATGGGACACTTCCGATCCTTACAATGATAACTTTTAAAGATGTAATAACAAATAATCAGTTATGTTACTTTTCTTGCAACTTACAAGTTGGATGGTGCACCATCAGCAAGGTTTTTTGTCACTGAAAGACTACAACTTCTGAAATAGTACTTATAACAATTTATTATTTTCATTAATAGTAGTATTTCTACTGTTTTTAATGCTGTTTCAGAATTTGTAATATTTACATACTTCTTAGGAATGAAATCATATTAAAAAATTTACAAAAAAAATAAATATAATCAAACCCAAACTAGAACAAATATATAATGAACATACATAACCTTTAAATTCCAGCAATATATTTTGTAAATAACCAAAATGCTAACGTTTTCAGTCATTTTAACCAGCCTTCTTCAGGCAAGTTTTAAGAATAAGAAAATCAAACTTTGATTTAGAACAGTGTCTTCTGTAACTCATGACATCCTTTCCAACACTTCAGGAACAAACAGTCCTTATGTGGTACTTCTTTGCATTGAAATTTTGTAATGTAATATTTATCATCCTGGCAGTTTTAATGTTTTTAATGATTTTGAGTTTTGTCTGTATCAAAATACTCCCAATGCATATGTTCTTTCTATGTTACCTTTATTATTAAAATAATTACTTTGTTCAGATAATTATTTTATAACTATGTATGTAAACATATACAGTAGAGCGTCGTTTATTCGAAAGCTGGTTATCCGAAACGTCTGTTATCCGAAAGCATTCTAGTCGGCAAATTTAAATTTTCGCTAGTGCTGTGGCGCTGCAATCTTCGGCTATTTCTCGGGCTACTCAAATATTTTACGTTTTTGATACTAAATTAACATCTGAAGTATAATTTTTTATTGTTTTTATATTTTTCAATAAATTTATTTTGTTTGTACAAAATAAAAAAATAATTTTTAACGATACAATAGTCTTCGTTAGGCTTAACATCGACGAAAATTCAACGCGAAGCGACACGCAACGGAGAGAAATTTCAACATGGGATAAATTAATATATTTTTTCGTACATGATTCGTTATCCGAAAAATAGGTTATCCGAACCACTCCAGTCCCCAATTGATTCGGATAAACGACGCTCTACTGTAAATATGCAAATAAATATAAAGTATTTTGTACTAAATGTGCTTTGCAACATTTTCCAGTTCTTTAAAATACTCTCCTGCAATCCTTGGGAGGATTTTGACACTGTATATTAAAGTTTAAGTTGCTGGAAAAGTACATTATTTTAGTATGTTTTTATTATTTGATTTATATTCTATTTTTATTTGTAACTTAATCAATAATCCTGTTAATTTTTAAAATCATAATGTGATATTGTTGTAAAATAACATAATTAAAATAACGTAATATTGTTCCAAACAGAATCTCTGTTCCAAAATCTGATGAAGGCTTATTAATCAAGCCAAAAATGTTAGTTATATTAAAGTTTAAGTTGCTTGAAAAGTACGTAAGGTAATTCGTGTGTTTCCAAACAATCTTCTCTTTTCTTTCTCCGTTCTCTTTACTTTCTTTCTCCTTCAGGTACCACTTCTACACATTAGGGAGAGAGTCAGAGTCCTTAATGTTAACTGCTTTTTTTTCCTAAAATTTGTAAATATACAATGTCGCCACTTGCCAGATCCTTTCATTTCTTGAATATATATTAGTGTTGCAACGAATAGTATATTCGGTCAAACTATTCGGCTTGATTAACGCACGTACGAAAATTGGCGCGCAAACCGCATTATGGCAAGCCCCTGCTCTCTATTGGCCCACTGTCACTACGCTTCGCTTCGCCAATCGCGTTAATTCTTGACAGTTCAGACAAGAGCGTCATGGCAGCATGTGATAAGTGATGATATCAGATGTGGATAACAATGAAATGACCTACACGTGTAAATAACGGAAGAACAGAGAAGGACCGCAAAGTGAAAATGTGAAAATAAATATGAAATTGAGTTGATAACATAATCGAACGAGTCGATTATGTTATCAACTCAATAAGCTGCCTCAAACAAGTCGAGGCAGCTTATTGGCGCGAAATTCGCGGCCGTCAATGCCAAGCAATTGTCGTAGACTTCGGAAAGCTAAATGCTTGTAATGAAAGTCACTTAGCGTGCACGGGCGAAAGCCTGGGGTCGTTCGGGCTACCGAGCTGTTTGGAATCTGTGAAATCATAACTGTGACTTATACCGACGTCCTATCTGTCTCTTTTCTCCGTTATCACCAGGCTATGAGTCACGTAATTGTAAAATGGGAAATCTACCACGGAAAAGTGACGAATCGAAAGTATCGCGAGGGTATATTATGATGTATGCATAGGCATACATGGACTAGAGCGATAGAGGAAAGAGAAAGGGAAGAGCAAAGACGAGCACTTAAAAAGAAGGATAGACTGGGTCAGACCCTCAGATGTGCGACGATTCTCGAACGAATAGGCGTGTACGTGTGCTGAACTTTGTAATTATAAATTGTGAATACAAGTGACTAATATTATGTTCTTTTTTATTTTGTGCATGTTATAAGTTATAAATAAATATAAACAAACAGCACTAACCCAATAACATTAAATCTAAATACCAAAATGATTAATTTACTGTGTTTTTGTTATTTCTTACTCCTGTTCTTAGGTATTAGGTATTCGGCCGAATAGCGAATAGTAACCGAATATTCGTTTACACTACTAATATATATGCATCATTCCATGCTCTCTTTACCAAGGATGACATTGTACTTTTCCTCCTGATGTTCTCTTTATGTTCCTTAAGCCAAACTTTATCTTAAACCATGAACAGTTAATATAATTGCTCTCTTAATTAGTGTATCAAAAGTTGTTTTACCTGCACGACTCATACTGATTTCCAGATGATGGATGCAGTTGAGAGTTACGCTTGTTGCTCTAAGAAATCTAGGTCAGATACTTAGGAATTTTTCACAGTTGATGTCATCCAAATGTGCTGGATCCCACCTTCAGCACCTGGTCATCCCATTGTGAACCATACCAAATTCATGATTGATAGGCAGATCTGAGTGCCCAAAGAGCAGGTAGAGTTAAAAAAAAAACCTTAAAATGTCTTGCATTATTCCCCATTGTAACAGTCTCCAGTAAGAATGCTTAGACAGTCTATTTAAAGGATAAAAAGAAACACAAGAATGCATACAAGTTTTATAATCTTGTACTATACAATAATAATAATGGGAAATTGATGATTGTGCTTCAGTTTCACATCAAGTCGACTTACACTTTGTTCAATAGGATAGAATGCAGGAGTCAAGAAGCATTTTTATTTATTTATAAATTAGAATATTTATAATATTATAATTTACATTTTAATATTTACTTCAGAGTTCTGTATAAAAATAATTTGAATGTAATTTTTATGAGTTCTTAATCAGAAAATGATATAATTATTTTCTATTGGATATTACAATTAATATTTTTAGCTCACAATTTTATTTATATATTTGTAACAATTTTTTTAATATATTATAATAACTCTATGTAAATTTTTAGGTAAAATAATGGCTAAATATCATGTAACTTCTGATAAATAAAGGATTTATCAGGTAAAAGTATCAATTGTTAAGCTTATTAAATATTAAATGCATGAATATTACATATTTATTAATTATGAGTTACATTATTAAAATGGTCTTTTACAGAGATGATATGACATCTACTAATTAAGTGGTCTTGCTTTAATAGCAAATGGGGAAGTGCCTTTCTTGTTGTGAGACTGACCCGCATACAGATGCACAGGATCATCACCTGAAATACATAAATTCCAGCAGAATGGTCGAATCTTGTGGAGACAGTGTTCCGGTTGGAAGTTCGGTCACGTCTCGATCTTCACGAACGTCAAATTCCGATAGTACAGTTCACATCAGTAATAATGGTGATACCTATCTGAATAGTTGTAACAAAACATCCATTGGTTTAACGGAAAAGTTAATGTTCTATCCTCGCATTCCTCCCATAAGAAGTGGCAGCAGTGATAGTAAACGATCTAGTCACTCGACACGAGAAATTTCAGAATCTAGAATTTATAGCTTGTTTGAGAAATATCGTGATCCTAACGAGGATGCAATTTTATCCGATGGCATAGAATTATTCTGTCAAGATTTAAATGTAAAACCAGAAGAATTTAAAGTGTTGCTACTGGCATGGAAGTTTGGTGCAGAACAGATGTGTCGGTTTTCTCGCCAGGAATTCGTAGAAGGATGCAAGGCAATGAGAGTAGATTCCATTCCATCTATACAATCCAAGTTACCCGAATTAATGGTTGAAATTCAAGAACCGGAAAATTTTAAAGAATTATATCGCTTCGCTTTTAAATTCGGCTTAGAGGTAGGTCAGAGAATTTTGCCGTCGGAAATGGCCATACAACTTTGGAAACTCGTATTCTCCCAAAAAGAACCTCCCATACTTCGACGGTGGCTCACATTTTTAGAAAAACATCCCAACATTCGTGGGATCCCTCGCGACACATGGAATATGTTTCTAAATTTCAGCGAAGCCATTGGTGACGATCTGAGTAGTTACGACGACACGGAAGCTTGGCCGTGTCTGTTCGACGACTTCGTGGAATATGAAAATGATCAGACTAACCAAAACATACATTTCAGTAAGAACATAGAAGAGGGTAAATGATTCTTCTTGGTGTGATTATCATTTGATTTTATATTTTTTTCTACTCGTACTTAAAAGAGGGCTTTCTCCACGCAGGTTTGTGATATTTATGTGCTTCTCGGCCGTTGCTCTGTTTGGAGTCACGAACTCGATGCCGCTTTTTTAATCTCCAAACACCGCTTTTGTAATAAGGATTTTATTTATAAAATAAATCTGGTAGAAAAATGTACCGTAAAGAAAACATCCATATCATTGTTTTCTATATTTAGTTAAAATGTGGAATTTTGTTTGTAATTTATAAACATTGAAACGTGACACGATATCATTTTCAATAACTTTGTTGAGTCTTAACAAAGTAAATAAATATCTTCTTATTCTTTATATAAAAAAAAATATATTAAATATATTTATTTTGTGATTGTTATTATGATATAACTCATTGTACTATATTAAAGGAAGTTAAAAAAAGAAATTTACTAAAATCTTAAAAAAAATTATAAAGCATGTTAACAGATAAAACAATAGTACAAATCAGTGGATAGTATTGAAGCGTATGACAGCTGCTCTGTTCTAGAGCAATGTAACTTATTCCAATTGAAAGTGAATTGGATATAAGGGAAAATTTTTAATAAAAGGTTTTTAAACATTGATTATGTAATGTCTTTAGATATTAAAATAGTAATTTTTAAAGGAATTTTTTCAGGTAAACAGAACTAAATTTTGGAATGCACTGTGCTGGTTTTGATTGTTTTTATTCTCGGTTAGTCTAGTTTCATGTGTTTTATATACACTTACACATTGTTATGGTAATACAGTACTTATGTAAATTGTATTTCATTATCATTCAAATGACATCAATGAGAATACACAATAGAAAAAATATAGCATTTTTAACTTATAATTGGATATGATGCTACAAAGATAACACTGTGTAAATTTCAGATATACAGTCCAGTCTGGTCCAAGTTGTTTGTTAAATGATGATAATATTCATGATCAGATGCTTTAACAATCGTATCTTATTGCTATTTTTATATAAAGAAAAAAAGTAAATATAGTAGAACAAAATCTTACAATATAAAGAAAATTAAAACTATTAAATCAGTTCTTAATACTGTGTATTATTTTTCATAAATTGATAATTGCACATATATTTTTAATTGTTACTAATTATGTAATTTAATATAACAAAATTCATTGAATTATGGATTCGGCCAGGCCCACAATGGGGCGGCCGGGTGGTGATAGCCAACATATCTGGTCGGATCACCACCCGAAAAATTCCTGGGGATTTTTCGACCTCCCGATCCCGAAAAATTCCTGGGGATTAAGGAAGGACAGACATACAAACGACAGTAGGAATTTATAGATCTACAATTTTTTCAAATTGCAGCCCAACGAATTGACACAAAACCGAAATATTTTTAAACATCAAAACATTAAACTTAAAAATTAAATGCAAGAAATATATTTATTGAATCATTAAAAACTAATTATTTGATATATTCTTCGGAAAATAAGTCGTTCTCCTGATAACACGCAGGTGGTCTTGTCTTTCAACTTTAGAAAATGTTTGACGTGACAAGCCAAGTCTCTGACGTGCCCTCCGTAGGTGCGTCCGATCCCGGGCATTATATAGGCGCGTTTGATACCCACCGGAGATCCGAGGAACATCTTTCTCTGTTTGATGTTCCCGACAACCGCCGAATTTCCACATTTATTTGTGGTCTTGTTTTTGCTTGTCGGCTTGGCCATTTCAAGCCAGAAAATGACCTTACAGAGATGACCTGTTTTTCTAATAATGCGATGGAAAAATTCGTTTGTTAAAGAATACGTCTATTGTTATTTTTTTAATAATAGTGTATTCATTTGTATATGTTATTTAAAAAATGTAAAAAAAATTATTAAATATTATTAAATTAAATTAATGTCGAATTGATTCGACATTTATGTACTTTTTCCTCTCTCTCTCTCTCTCTCCGTTCTGTGGGCATTAATAGGGCCTTTTAATCATATTTATCATGTGCTCGTCCAGGTCCACAGTAGAGGCGTCGTGGTGCGGCCGGATGGCCGAGCGGTCAAGGTGGCAGCCTACCGCTTTGGGGGACCCGGGTTCGAATCCGAACGGGTCGAAAAATCCCCAGGAATTATTCGGAGGGTGGTCCGTTCGGATATGTCGGGCCCCGTCCCTCATCACCCGGCAGCCCCATTGTGGGCGTGGCCGGACCCATAATGGGCTTGCAAAATGAGGCCCTCTTAGTGCCCACAGGGTGGAAAGAGTTAAAAAAAAAAAAAAAGAGGCGTCCTGGTGGCGACACCCATGAAAAATTGCTGAGGTTGCACTTCCGCAGCGTTTCTTTCAGGTGCAGTCCGGGAAGAAAATTCAGAAATTGAAAAATACTCCTTCACGTAACTTCGTATAACACACAAAGGATCATCTGCTAGTATATACAGCATATACTAGCAGATGAGTCTGTCGTTCCTCGGGCAAAAAGTAACGATAGCAAAAATTAAGATTATTAGATAGTGTTGCCATCTTTTCAAAATGCTGACCCGGATGGCAGGTGAGGTTTGTTAGAACAGAAGTTCCTGACGCATGCGCAATGTCATTTTGCAATGCGAAGAATAACGTGTAGTGCATGCCGGTTCTAAATCAGTTACAGTTAGGGACTTTTTTTTAACTCCGCCCTGTGGGCACTAAGAGGGCCTCTTTTTGCAAGCCCATTATGGGTTCGGCCAGGCCCACAATGGGGCTGCCGCGTGGCGAGGGACGGGGCCCGACATATCCAAACGGACCACTCCCCGAAAAATTCCTGGGGATTTTTCGACCCGTTCGGATTCGAACCCGGCCCCCAAGGCGGTAGGCTGCCACCTTAACAACTCGGCCATCCGGTCGTACAGTTAAGGACTAAGGAGACTTGGGTAGGAGTAATGTAAGTAACTAAATTAAGAAAAAAATAACTACAGATGACTTAGCTTTATTGGATACTAGCAGGTGGGCCCGGCGTTGCTCGGGCAAAAGTAACGATAACTAAGATAAAGATTATTACGTTACAGTCAACCTTACCCGTTTTCACAGAATGCAAGAATTGGGTCCCCTTGTTTCCAGACTAATTAGAGAATTTTTAGATGGGTCTAAAAATATGTTCGATTTCCCGCAAAAACGAAAAAACTGCATCTGCGTATCGCACGTCGCTTTCTCTTAACAATTCCATTGTTACGTAAGATTTCCATTGTTGACACTTCCATTGTTACTTAAAACTTTTATTGTTACTTAAAACTTCCATTGTTACTTAACACTTCCATTGTTACTTAGCACTTCCATTGTTACCTAACACCGCCATTGTTACTTAACACTTCCATTGTTGATGGAAGTGTTAAGCCTTAATCCTGTCTTTCCCCCCCCGGGAGGAATTTCGAAAAATCCCTTCTTAGTGTGCGTTTTCGTGACGTACCCTATCTGTGTACCAAATTTCAGCTTCCAACTCCTAACCGTTTGGGCTCTGCACTTATTATTATTATCATTATTATTATTATCAACCCGTCTCGATTATATTATAGATTGGAGATTTGTGCGAATACGAATCGTACAGGCAAAAAAAAAAGTCGACAGGTTGCGCATGATATTCCCGGACAAAATTAGTAGTTCACCCGGACAGTGAGTCGATTCCCGGACTGTCCGGGTGTAAACTGGACGGGTGGTAACACTATTATTAGATTATAGCCGATCTTACCCGTTTTCACCGGGTGCAAGAATTAGGTCCCCCCTCTTCCGAGACTAATTAGAGAATTTTTAAATGAGTCTAAAAATATGTTTGGTTTCCCGCAAAAGTGCAAAAAAACCTGCATCTAAAATAGTACTGTACAAGTCGAGTTCTTCAGGATAATCCTTAACCCTTTCTCTCTCCCCCGCTGGGGAAAATTTCCAAAAATCCATTTTTGTTTGTATACTCGTGACGTACCCTAACTGTGTAACAAATTAAACTTTCAACTCAACCGTTTGGGCTCTGCGCTTATTACAGAGGTTGCGGCCGACGTTTTCAACGCGAAAACGTGTACATCGGACGTTCAGAGCCGCTTTCTTAAAGGCCTAGAAGTTTGGTAGTGGTGCTTGGAATGTCGTGCACGATTCCACTGACTATCCAAACACCATTGTCAAACTTCTAGGCTTACAGGAAGGCAGCGCTGAACGTCCGACGTACACGTTTTCGCGTTGAAAACGTCGGGCGCAACCTTGCTATTATTATGTTGGGTTTAGTGAGTTATACTCTGTTGACACCGGTGGCTGTGTACTATGCCGGACCAGAGTCCAGGCATAGTAACCAAAACAAAACAAAAATTAAAAAAGTGTGTCAGTGTGTGTTTCGGTATTCAGGAATTTCCTAACAATATAGCATGTATTGAATATAGTGGCCTTCTGTAGTGTGATGTATTAATGATTTAAATTGTTTTAAAGTATAATTGAATGCTTCCTACGATATTAGATATCCTGGAAAATTTTCGATTTCTCATGTTTTTTCCAATCTCTTATTTGGAAGGCAAATTTTGTACACATAAAGCGGTTTTAATACAGCTGGATAATCCAACCAATGACGTTGATCATTTCATTTGAAACGGTCTACGTCATTGGTTGACTTATGCAACAGTATTAAAGCCACGCATCCTTTAACATTGCTTTTATATATTGAAATCTTCCATTATACAATCAATTGTTTTTTTTTTTTTTTTGTAAAAGTAGCAATCAACAAACATTGAAAGTAATTATTCCTATATGCAGTAAATTATTAATATAAAAAAACTAATCAAATTTTATTATGATAGTTTTACATAATACTGTAGTATAAAAATGTGCAAAATTATTATTAGAAGATTCATTAACTAAATATTTTATAAGGAAGTTTAGTAAATTATTCGTAAGATATATCATTGAGTAGTCTAATTTAAAATGTTTTCTACCAATTTAATAAATTAATTAGTGAAATACAGTCGACCCCCTATAAGATATAGATACGTTCCAATTTATTACAAATCCAATTTCTTACAAGTCGTTCCAATCACAGCCCGACACGTGTCAAGTTTACGGACTACGGCTGATTGAAAGCAAGGACTGTATACTACATGTTAGTTTAAAGTCCTTGGATTGAAAGGTTTTCTTCCATAAAATTAATCGATTCTACACTAATCCGAATCAACATTTCCAAAATACATATATCTTTTCGTAGTTTTATAGGAATCGTAATTATAGGGACCGTAATTATAGGGGGGGTCGAATTATTTTGTTGACTTATACAGTTTGTTTCTATAGAGCAGTGTTTTTCAACCTTCTTGAATACGCGACCCCCTTACAAGTTAAAAAATTCTGGCGACCCCCCTAGGGCCATATTAAAACTATATCAGTGATTTTAAAATCTATGTATTTAATTTTCTTTCTGTTGAGACAAATTATTGTTGATTAAAGTGAAACTTTCAGAAGAATCGACAATAACTTAACACACATAAAGTATGAAACTTCCTTTAATTATAACATTCGGTACAGGAAGATGTTGACCTTTTTTTTTTTGTTTAGGATCAGAATTTTCAGCTTCTACGTTTCTACTTTTTATTTCTTTTTGCAGATCAGCTCAACACATTTTCCGCTATCATTTTCTGGGGTGGGCCGTAATTCTCGCTGAAATTGTAGTTTTTTTTTTAATGTAGTGTAGGACCTACAAACACTTGTCTTTTTCTTTTACCCGCGACCCACAGGTTGAAAAACACTGCTATAGAGGATCCGGGTTCGAATCTCTAGAAATTTTTTGTGCGCTCTAGTCCTGATAGTTTGGGCACATCCCTTATTATCCGACCATTCTTTGTGGGCCTGACAAATCGCTGATGAATCTGTTAAAATGGCCCTTAGTGCCAACAGGATCCAAGAATAATTTAAAAAATAAAGTAAAATATAATGTATCCAATTCGATCTCCATAGAAACGATGATATATTGAAAGGTTATAAACATAAACACATGGAATTAACAATTGAATTCACAGTTCTTAGATAGGTAGCGTACTGTATTCCTTTTAGCCGCCCATCCACCACATGTACAGTAATCAATTTTTACGAAGTACTATTCTATGCATTGAATATTTCTTATGATATTTTATATTACAATAATACCTGGGAGTTTCGTGCGGTTTTCGGATAGAATATTGAAGTAAACTGGAATTATAAACTCTGGAAAGTATGGTAAAAGACGGACCCTGATTTATTACGGACAGATCACCCATTAAAAAGTTTTCAGGGTTGCACGTTAAGTATTCGATTCCGGATATTCGGAAAGGCCCGACACTGGCCACTCTCCGTCTGTTCTTTGGGGACACACAAAAGTTTTACTTTATCGCTACAAGGTCATTGGAGTAACCTATAACCATGTGGAGAATAGAAGAATATTTTAATTCAACACAAAAAACTGCAGATATTTTGGAAAGGGTGCACTCAATCAGCGAAGCAGTGGAAAAAACTAGTGTAGAAGCAAATTTAATTGGCAGAAACAATTCTTTAAACATTTAGAATATCTTTTCAAACATTTATACACTCGTATAATTTTTATAAAATGTTTCAATAAATGCATTATTTATCCATTTATTTAAAACACTGGTAGTTGGTCGCGGATTCGTCCCTTACCAATAGGCAGGTCACGCGGATTTTTTTCGGGTTTTCATTACGTGTCTAACACATTGTAAGAAGATTAAGACGAACATTCTAGTGAATATATGCTTAACAATGAACCCTTGAGGGGTTACATGCAAATTTTCAACAAAGATTATTGTAAATAAATGGACTGAAATGATGGAATTAGTAGCGTGACGCGTGGACGATTTGCCAAGGGAGAAACCTCTCCGGAAGATTTTCTACGCGAAAATGGCCCTACTTAGGTGTTAGGAACTTTTCCCAATCTTTCTTGAAACATCCTGTGCAATGTACATATTTTAAAATCATTTTGGATTCTAAGAATTCTTTCTGAAAAGATCCGAGTCTTCCGCTCTGGGGGACCGGATTCGAGTTTGGGCTAGCCGACTAGATTTATCGGATTCAGTCTGGCCACTCTTGTGAACCCGATCGAATCCACGATGAACATGAAAAGGACCCTGTTACTGCACACGGAGTGGAGTTTATAAATCATTTAGTTCTATTCCACAAGCTTATCGTTTCGATCATATATAAACAAATAGATCTCCCGTGATACTATAACCTCCTTGTCACTGACACATATCAATTATTAATAATCATTTCGCTTGAAAGTGATGAATTTAAATATATTTCATTTTCTCTTTTTATTTTCTCTGTTTATAACTGAAGAATCTTGCAAGGTATTTGTATATGTTTTTGGATCGAATTTCGTTTTTAAGAACCTGTATGTTATTTTCGTAATATATTACTTACTGTATATAACATAAACTTGTATGCTTACTACATGCTAAGTAAAAATAATAATGATTTTGGTTCTTTTAAGACGTTCCCCACCCTTGTTTGAAACAAATGACGAGAGATAAGGTACGAAGTGCTCAAACTGGATGTTGTCTGGTCACATTAGTTTGCCTTTTATCTACCATTAATCACCACTGCGCTAAATATAATCTATACGCATTTAATGCAGGCAAATGTAGTCATTAATAATAGTGATCTTAATCAATTAATTAAACATGGAGACGAAATGATAGTATAGAATTTCCCTTTCAGTTATTAGAAAATAAGAAATTTTGATCAAAATGTGTATCATTATCTTTAAGATTATGAGTAGATATACAGTTTGTGCGTCACAAAATGCTGGATTTGTGTTTGTGTCTTGTATAGAATCTAAGTTATGGTAAAGTGCATAAATATTTTACATTTCAACCTACCAATGGTTGCGTGGATAAAAGCAGTAAACACTGGTAGTTAGTGTGGTTTGCATCTCACCAATTAGGCTGCCCATGTGGAATTTTCTGAGTTTTCTTTGTGTATCTTAATGTTAGTAAAGGCCAGTTTCCCGTAGAAAGTTATCCTCTTGGCAGATCACCCAAGTGTAGCATTGCCTTATTCCATTAATCTAACGTACAAATTGAACCTACAAGTATGTTGAAATATTTTTTCAACATATTTTTCTATTATTATTTAGATATTTGTTGATCTTACAACAAATAGATTATCAAGAGTTCAAGATGGGACTGTTGGTCTTTGGAGCTTTCATGGGCAAGTTTTTAACTGAAAATAATATTTTATTATATTTAATAATACATGAAGATATATTTTTGTTTGTTAAATTATATTTTAGGAAAGCTAAAGAGAGTCATGCCATTAAAACAACATTTACTTATAATGCAGACTTGATAGATGAACAATCATTTTATAATGGTAGCATTAAACACATAAATTTGGCAACTATAACCGAACCTTATTTAGGTTTAACATCTGATACTGATGATGATTATCTGGTGAGTTAATATAGATAAGACTGTATTTATTTATTTATTTATGACTACGGGTATTTAATTGTATGTCATTCCATATTATCAGAAAATTGAAAAGAAAAATATTGTCTCTCTATACTCTTTTGCAGGATTATTTACTTCTTCAAGCTCATACAGCAAATATTGATGGTTTTATTTTGGAATGGGTATGTTATTCATTATATATAATTAAGATAAATTTTATTATTAATATAACAAAATATTTCTAATAGGGTTATGAAGGACATCCAAGCAATCTGGCATTACATAGATTACTTAATGTATTGAAAAAGCCAAAATTTTCTAATACAAAATTTTGCATTGGGATTAACTGGTAAGAAATATTAAATCGAAAAGATATAACAATCAAACACTATCTGTAATCTTTTCTTTATGAATCAATAGGTTGCAACAGCACGTGTATGAGGCAGATTCAATAAATAAAGTTAAAGAAAAATAATATAGCATACAAAGTTGAGATTAGTAATATTGAAAGAGTATTAAGTAACTCAACTCTGTACCAGTAGTCATTCATTTCTGCAAGGTGACATTTTGTATTCACTAACTCACTACATGGTTTACAAAATGGCATTGCCCAAATCAAACTGCACCAGAATTGAACAGCAACTTGCTATTTGATTCTGGTGCAGAATCAGAATAGCAAATTGAACAACAAGAAACTGTTGTTCAATTTCTGAGCCAAAGGCATTGCAATTACAAGTTAATGAGATCCACTGCAGGTTGTAAGTGCAATATGGAAAGTCATGCATTTCACTACGAAAAACTTACAAGTGGATTCAAAAATTCAAGAAAGTCTGAAAAAACAGACAGTGAACCATATAGACTTGAACCCAAGCTTTTTGAAGTGACATGCATGATATTCTATTGTTCATATATCCTGTAGTGGATACTGTCAAAAGTCAACAGTTTACTATTTGATTGTTGTTTGATATGGGCAATTCTATTCTATAAACTGTATGGTAGATGCAAATGCCAGCTGGCAGATACAACTGTTGGTACAGGGCTGCATTACTTTATACTTTATCAATATTATTAGGCTCAACCTTGTATGCTATATTATTTTTTAACAGCAATACTAACATTATTTATTGAGTCTGCCACATATAATTAATGCAGCCAATTAACTTCATATTGATAGAATTCTTTAACATGCACAAATAGATAACATTATGACGGTATTGTTGTCTATATTAAAAAATTAAAAGCATGTATGGCAGGCATTAACATTTCTACAGGACTATCTGAATTTCTATAACAAACTGATAGGGGTAATAGTAGGGGTCAATACAAGCAAATTTGATCCTATGAATCAAGGGTGCCACAGACTTCTTTAAGAGATATAGGAGGAGGAAACATTTGGTGCTGTTGTCTCTATTGGCTACTCTGTAAAGCACATGTATATATTTTTTTTTTTTTGCTGTTCAGAAGTAGATTTTATGGATGACTGGATGCCAGTATACTGCTCTGGCTGACCTGAGATTGAATATGGATGGGCCATGATAGAACCCAAAAAATTTTTTGGGACAGTTTCTCTGAATATGTCAGGCCTTATCCTTTACCATCCAGCAGCCCCAATGTGGGCCTGGATGAACTCATAATAGGATTGCTAAAAGAATTGTCTTTTTACTGCCCACCAGTCAGTTAAAAAAAACAGATTTTATGGAATCATCCTGAGCAAAGTGGTAGGGTCCAACACATGTACATTATCGGTTAAGTTGTCAGATGCAAGATGGCTTTGCATTACACTAATGCAGAATATGTTGCTATGCTAATTTATGGTGGAGCTGACAGCAGTGGGAAGGCTGTGGGAAGTGACTGTATCAGAAGTGTTATTCATGTTGTCTAGTTCCATTGAATATATGTTTCATGCAACCATTTACATACATGTCAATGGTTGTGTGAAACAGGCAGTTTCATTGTAGACAGATCTAAGAATGGTTCATCAAAGAGAACCTGAATGCTGAACTTTGAAGAACAGGTTTTGGTACATACTATGGCAAATCCATCAACAAGTACACAAGCACTTGTCAATGCTCTGTCAATGAACCATATGAATGTTTGACAGGTGTTGCATAGATACCAGTTGCATTTATATTATTTCTGCAGGTAAAGTATTTTGTTCAGGAAACTATGCTCCATGTGTTGCTTTTGCTCAATTGTTCCTCCAACAATGAAGAACCCAGATTTCCAAAGCTGAGGTTCTCAGATGAGATGTCATTTACCATAGAGAGGGCCTTGTTCAACTCAGGAAATGGCCAAGTTTAGGATTACAAAACCCCTATGACATTTTAATGAGGTTTGCCATCAACATATAGGTGGGAATTGTAGGGCAGCAGCTAATGGGACATACATACTACCACTCTGTCTCAATGGCACATTGTACTTGATGTTTCTGCAGGAAGCACTACCAAAACTTCTGGACAATATACCCATTGACATAACATGTAGTTCCAGCATGATCAAGCACCAGCACACTTCAGTTCTGTTGTTCATAACCATCTGAACCATACATTTGGAGACAGATGGATTGGCAGAGGAGGGATCTATGTCTTCACATTTTTCTAATCAAACACCTGTTGACTTCTTTTTGTAGGGTCACAGAAAAAGTCTTGTCTATAAGATGCCAATTGACTCTGCTGAAGAACTAATAGCATAAATTGTGGCTGAAGCAGAAACCCAGGATACTGCAGAATCATCCCATATATGTACAGTACTAACATGGTTCAAAGAGGTACTACATGCAATGTAACTGATGGTCATCAATTTAAACACTTCCTGTAAGTGTTGGTTTTCCAAAAACAGAAAGGAAAAAGACTATACTCCTCCATTTTTATTTCATGTACACTACTGGCAGGTGTACTGGTGTTGCGCAATTGTACTTGCTTTTGCATTTTTGTTTTTATTTTTCACATTTATTAACACTACAATGACACAAAACATAAGAATATACATAAAAGTACACAGCCATACAAACAAACAATTAAATTATTTCTTTTCACAACATAAAAAACAGTGTTAAAATGCAATCTATGCAATATAATAAAAAAAAGTTTATATATTTAATTAAAAATATAGGGTAATCCAAAAATAACAGAAAATTTGAAAAAATAATTTGCTAAGTGGTTACAGTAATGTGATGCAGTGTTCACAGAAATGCACAGAATGAAGTGGAATTTTGTTTATAAAGAGAAAATTTTAATACCAGATTAGTTACATTTCCAATTACCAGATGGCTTCTAAATTGATTGCTCAATGTGTATAATACCAAGATTTTCAATGTATTACCCATCATTTGTAGCACCTCTGCACGTTGCTTCTCCTGTCAGACAACTCTTCATATAAATGACCTGCAATGTCTCCATACCTTACATCTTGTGACTTTTGATTATGGGGCTACTTGAAGTCAAAGGTGTATAGAGTTTGGTCTGCATGATTGGCTGAATTGAAGGACTCTATTAGCCATCATGCTTCAGCAATATCAACTGAAATACATTAATGTCGTGCATAGTGTCATATTTAGTCTGATGGCAGTGCTCGTGAATGATAAGTGCCAAATCGAAAATTTGTAATAATTTCTTGGGTGTTACACAAACTAAGCAGTCAATTCAAGAGCGTTTTGATGATAGGAAATGTAAGTAATTTGGTATTAAAATTTTCTCATTATAAACAAAAATCCCACTTCATTCTGTGCATTTCTGTGAAAATTTCATTGTGCTATTGTAAATATTTAGTGAATTATTGATTTTTTTCAAATTTTATGTTACTTTTGGATCACACTATACTTTAAAATAGAATATTTTTTTATTTTAAATTATTTTTTAAAAATTGAATCTTATATTTCTTTATTAAACTTTATTCTTTTTATGAAATTAAATATTTTGCAGGTGTGACCACTGGCTAAAACAAAAATTAAAGAATTCTTCTGAGGTATTGTTTAAAATTCTGTAAAAAATTATCAATTTAAATTATTTGTTGTTTATTATGGCATGCATGCATAGATTGTTTTTACTTTTTGCAAGTTTTCAAATTCAGTTTAGTTAAACTAAATTTGAAAAATAAATGAGTGTGCGTATTTAATCTAGTAGAGATATTTTTTTATTAAAATAACCTATTCAAAGATACTTCAGAAATATCTTGAAAGTCCTATTCTTATGTAATACTTTCAAATATTCTTTTGAGTCTTGGTTTTATATTATTGTAAGTGATACGTAAGTGTAAATAAAAAAAATTTTTTAAATCTACTGAGACTTTATAAAGAATATTTTTTGATCTTGTATGGAGAAAAGAAATGGAAAAATTTCTAAAATCCCTAATGCCCCACTCAGATCTAGTTGCTACATCAGCCATCAAAGCAAAAATGATAATCAACAAATATATAGGTACTTTACTATCAAACTCGTATTAGATTTTTAAGATTGATGTTGTTTCCCTTTATCTGTTGGTGCCATATTTTGAGGCAATAATGTTGGAAAATGCACTACTACTTAACAAAAGTTTAGCTAGGTAGGATATGTGAAGCTCTATTCTTAATAACAGAAAACAATTATTTTTGTTTTAATAACCAAATTTATCTTCAAAAACAGGGAGAGCCAATGGGCTCTCCACTATCAGCAATACTTGCAGAGTTAATCATGAGAAATATTGATGAATTTAGAGTTTTTTGTGTACCTTTAGTACTCCAGTATCCACTATTATATATTAGATATGTAGATGATATATTACTACTGTGTGATGGAACTGATTTCAAACTTTTGCAGTTTGTAAGCAATTACATGAGCAATTACATTACAGTAATTACGATCCCAGATATACACTTTAATCAATTTTACTGTAGAAAAAGAAAAAGACAACAGCATCAGTTTCCTAGATTTCCTAATATGAAAATGCCTGAAGGAGTTTTTTAGTGTGTTTCAGTTTAATCTATATCCTCACATTATATTGGCCATTTCATTCCAACTGCATGGCTACATAAATAATGCCATAGCTGTACTTATTTGTAGAGTATACTTATTACCATCATGGCAACATTTGGTACAAAAAGAGCTACAATTTATTAATATGATAATGTGTAGGGCAGGATACACCTTATGTTAAATTCAAGTGCATACACACAACCCTCTTCCCACCATCAAAATTAGAAATAATAAAAAGGATTGCATTTATATAAGCTCTTCCATCCCATAACTTGGATCTGTGTCCTTAAGCATTACTAGAAGACTTCAAAGATCAGGATTTAACCTTCTATGTATTGACAGGGACAAATTAACTACGTTAGAAAAATCAGGCATATATGTAATTCCCTCACAACACCAAAACAATGATGAAATAATGATATATTTTGGGCTACAAGTAGAAAATTGCAAAGCTAAATATTAGAACATCAAGATGACATTTGTAAAATAAATTTTCCACAGAACTATCTAGAAGGGTTCTCAATCATTACTTCCACCCATGTAGAATTAATCTTCCATCCTCATACAATGTGAGGACTAAAACTTTTTATTCATCTGGAAAATGTTATTTTTTGAGAAATTGCAGCTATGTAATAGGCCCACTCTAGAGCTTCCAAAAATATGGGTTTGACTATTTAATAATTAAAAAAAAAAACATTTTTTCTATCAAGTGAACTCACTTTGTATATTTAATTACAGATTAGATTAATTAATATACTTCAAACCTACCATTTTCTCAAATACTAGCTTAGGATTCTAGAGGAAGAAATAATAGAACTATGGAATCCCTTATTCATACACAGCACATATATGAAGAAATATGAATGCACATAAAATCCAAGATGGAAAGAATGATGAAGCAGTTAGAAATGTATAAGCATGATGTAGACTACTTACAGGTAAATTGACATGAAGAGGCAACTCCTAATACATTAAGTAGAAAATTGTTTTGTACAGTCCTAGTACTGAAAAGGGATCAAAATTTTACATTAATCCAAAAGGCATGTCCAAAATTAGTTAATAAAAATTTTTTGCCATCATAAACTTTTGGATGTCAGAAATACAGGTTGAAATTTTCAAATCTACTAGCTTAGGATTATAGAGGAAGGAATAATAGATTAATATAGTTTATTGTAGAAGACTTATTTCAAAACTTGACACCATTATAACAAGAATAAAGAAAGATACTAATCAGGGCTGTGGAGTCCTGTAAAAATCTACCAACTCTGACTCCAACCAGGGGTGGACTTGTTACTGAAAGAGACCCGGAAATTCTGATGTCATCATGTGACCTCAGAATAAAAGATTCAATAAATAGAGTTCTAATAAAGATAGAGCGTAGATACTTTTTATTCCAAAGCTAAAAGACTTCTCTAAGTAATATATAAATATGTATTCAATAATTTTTACTTCTCCAGCTGTTATATATAACAGAGGAAAAGTCTAGCGCTCAGTCAAAAAATGACCCCTCCCAAATTTTTACATTTTTGGACCAGGATACCTTGAAATTTAGAGATATCCAAAAGATTCGAGGTTTTTTTTTTCTATATGTGTGAATGTTAGACTATGTGTGGGGGGCATGATTTTGTTCACCCTGTTTGAAGCCTAATAATTTCTGTGGTCAGAGTGGTCAGAATCGGAGTCAGATAGTTTAACACAGGACTTAGTTATTAAGCGTCAAAGTGGTTGAACTGAATCATGTCCCTATATACATTCTAACATCTTAGGCAAGAACATCTTAATGGGTTTTACTGTACTATTATAAAATGGCAAAAAAGCTTACTTTGAGTGTAGATACGAGTTTTATTTTATTTTTTTAAATTTTGAATGCTAATAACGAGTAAAATATTCATTAAGAGATATGACATGTGACCACTTTTATGTCTTCACCCTGTCGACCTTTAATTAGGAACCAAAATTTAATAGTATTAATGCCCCTTTATACACAAGCTACAGTGCCACATTTCATTTCTTAAACTTTACCCATTCTGAGATATTGTTTAATATCTCAGAACAGAAAATAAAGAAATTAAACAAATTAGATGCCAACACACACATGCGCGAATTTTTCCCCTTTATTGACTTTTTTGAGGGATTCGGGAGGTCTCCAAACGTGTAGATTTGCAAAAAGACTTGGAGGGTCAAATTTGACACAATTCCAATACTTTTCCATTTTATATACATAACAAGTTGGTAAGTAAAAAGGAGTCGGAGTCAGCGGATTTTTTGACGACTCCAACTCCGACTCCGGCTAAAATACCAAAACTCCACGACTCCGACTCCAACTCCACAGCCCTGATACTAATGTAAATGTTGTAATTACAGTATAAACATTTTTGTTCTAATCAGAACAGCTTCAGCTAACATTAAAATAAAAATATAAAATCCATTATGGAAGTATATGAGATTGAACATATATTTAGTTTGCATATGTGTATTGCATGTATTTTATTACAACACTCCTTTGAAGCATCAGACTACGTTACTAATGCTTTAAAGTTGTGTAATGATTCATGGCATTTTTGATATCATCTAACATACTATAAAGAATTAATTTTCGAATCATGAATATTTTTGAATAACATAAGAAGATGAGAATAACATCTGATAAATTTTTAGGTATTAAATAGTTACATGTATTTCCATTATTTATAATTATTATAGGTCTGCAATTTTTTAAAATTGCAGACCTATAAATTCCCACTGTCATCTGTCTGTCCTTCCTTAATCTCAAGAATAGGGATAGATAGATGAAAGTCAAGATCAGATATGGAAAGATTAGAGGCAGGAGGTCATGATCAATTACATACAAACTTCCAGTATAGACTAGAAGTTATGTTATTTTAATTCAAAAATTTTTCCCAGAACAGAGTTAGAAACATAACCAGCATGTCTCTACTGTTATCAGGAAACATATGATAACAGGCCCAAGGCTATAATAAAATGGAGAGAGCATATATTTTAAATTAAAAATAATATAATTAAAAATTGCAACTCAGCATTGCGACAATGTCACAATAACTTAGAAAATAAAAATTTAACTTAATATCTGTTATTTATAATTGAAAAAATATTTGAAATTTAAGCAAAAAAGTTTGTAGGATGAATTTCTCCATATTTCATCAATATTTTAGGAATTACATATTTTTCAGATGATAGAGATCTTCCACAAAAATGCACAATATTTGTTGGATAGTTTCTTTATTCCCTTCTTCAATATTAGTCATAAATATCATCATCATCCTATAATTATGCTGTTTGGTGGAGGAATAACATCTGATGAATTTTTAGGTATTAAATAGTAACATGTATTTTCGTTATTTGTAATTATTTTTAAACTAAGGATTAAAAATGTCATTAAGCAAGAATTACTAATATATACTGTATTTACAGAAGTTTTAAAAAGAAAATTCTTTGTACCTGCTAACATGGACCAACCAATATGGATTGGAAATTATTTAAATACTGCTTCAACTGTGAAATTAAGGTTAGTATTAGAGGTTTATATGAACTATGTTAAATTGGAATCTGAATTCATTTGATTAAAAAAAACTGGATTATTAAATATGCAATCATTAATATGAAGTATATACAGTAGGAAATCCATTATTGTAGTCATTTCCTACTGTAAATAAGATAAATAAATAAATTTAATTAAATTTTTCAAACTTTATGCAGAATTTTTCAATCTTGGATTTTGCATTGATGAAGACATTTTTAATTAATGTTTTTCTAATTTTTGTGAATTTTTTAAAATACTTACTGTACATACTTATTTTCATTCACTTTTGAAAATTAAAGTAATATATTCATTTTTAATTCTCAAATATTGATGATAAACCATTAAGAAGAGAGAGTTTTTCAACACTACATTTTGCTGTAGCTTGTTAAAACTGATATAAATTTTGTTTAAGAGTATCAATATATTAACAAGTAGAGTTTCAACAACACCAGAACATTTTATAATTTTTTTTTGTATAATATTGATGAAGAAATCAATGGTTAAAGCTGTTAAATGGAACATTTGCTTGGGTATCACATTCTCATCTTACACCACCTTGGCTAAATGATTGGGATACTTACTCTTTACCTGGAGATACTGTCATTTATCAGGTAATTTTATTCAATTTAATAAAAAAACATGCAAATTCTTTTTTGTTTATGAATGTTTAATTTTTAAAAGTGATTATTCATTATTTAAAGTAGTTTTTTATTTTATTGTAATATTTACAGAAGGAAGTAAGAGATTTATCAATTAAACTTGTAGCAAATAAAACATGGAATTATTGGATGGCTTCAGCAAATCCTGGCGAAGATAATAGAGGATGTGCGGGATGGGGACAAATGCTTAAATATGTACCACGAATATGGAATAATGTGTATGTAAAGTATATAAAGTAAACAGTGTGCTGTCTGTAACATTTTTCATTAGAAGGAGACTATGATTTCTATTCTTTGGGAATTTGGTATGACTATTATCAAGGATGACTATTAATGAAATAAATCCAATAACATTTTCATTTTATTATTATTTGAAGAACAATGCAATACTCAATGCACACACTTTATTTTAACATATGGTAAAAGTGACAATACTGAATAGAATGTGCAATTATTCAATTTATAATAAGCCTATCTTCCTCCAAAAGATAGCATTCTTACTATTAGAGGCACTTACTATAACTTTTTCATATCATAGCTGTGTTGTTTATTAGAATAAATATCAGTCCAATCGGCTTAAGGGCCAACCTTAAGCCGATTGGACTGATTGCTTCCATTTGGGCTTGTGCCTAAGAGGCCCCTGCACTAGAGTGTAATCTCCTCTGGCTTATCAAGTACACACAACAACAGGAAGTAAAAAAGGGACTTTGGATATAATTTCCCCAAAAGCGGTGGTGAAGCTGCCCAATGGGGTGGTGATTGTACCCAACATTTGATTATAGGAAAAAAAGAATTAAAACATAAATGAAAGAAAATAAAACCACCCAATCACATGTTTCCTTGGCTATTTATAGTCTTTTAGATCTACTTAGGCTTGACTTTAATAGAGGTAAGTAAAAAGGAGTCGGAGTCAGCGGATTTTTTGACGACTCCAACTCCGACTCCGGCTAAAATACCAAAACTCCACGACTCCGACTCCAACTCCACAGCCCTGATACTAATGTAAATGTTGTAATTACAGTATAAACATTTTTGTTCTAATCAGAACAGCTTCAGCTAACATTCAAATAAAAATATAAAATCCATTATGGAAGTATATGAGATTGAACATATATTTAGTTTGCATATGTGTATTGCATGTATTTTATTACAACACTCCTTTGAAGCATCAGACTACGTTACTAATGCTTTAAAGTTGTGTAATGATTCATGGCATTTTTGATATCATCTAACATACTATAAAGAATTAATTTTCGAATCATGAATATTTTTGAATAACATAAGAAGATGAGAATAACATCTGATAAATTTTTAGGTATTAAATAGTTACATGTATTTCCATTATTTATAATTATTATAGGTCTGCAATTTTTTAAAATTGCAGACCTATAAATTCCCACTGTCATCTGTCTGTCCTTCCTTAATCTCAAGAATAGGGATAGATAGATGAAAGTCAAGATCAGATATGGAAAGATTAGAGGCAGGAGGTCATGATCAATTACATACAAACTTCCAGTATAGACTAGAAGTTATGTTATTTTAATTCAAAAATTTTTCCCAGAACAGAGTTAGAAACATAACCAGCATGTCTCTACTGTTATCAGGAAACATATGATAACAGGCCCAAGGCTATAATAAAATGGAGAGAGCATATATTTTAAATTAAAAATAATATAATTAAAAATTGCAACTCAGCATTGCGACAATGTCACAATAACTTAGAAAATAAAAATTTAACTTAATATCTGTTATTTATAATTGAAAAAATATTTGAAATTTAAGCAAAAAAGTTTGTAGGATGAATTTCTCCATATTTCATCAATATTTTAGGAATTACATATTTTTCAGATGATAGAGATCTTCCACAAAAATGCACAATATTTGTTGGATAGTTTCTTTATTCCCTTCTTCAATATTAGTCATAAATATCATCATCATCCTATAATTATGCTGTTTGGTGGAGGAATAACATCTGATGAATTTTTAGGTATTAAATAGTAACATGTATTTTCGTTATTTGTAATTATTTTTAAACTAAGGATTAAAAATGTCATTAAGCAAGAATTATTAATATATACTGTATTTACAGAAGTTTTAAAAAGAAAATTCTTTGTACCTGCTAACATGGACCAACCAATATGGATTGGAAATTATTTAAATACTGCTTCAACTGTGAAATTAAGGTTAGTATTAGAGGTTTATATGAACTATGTTAAATTGGAATCTGAATTCATTTGATTAAAAAAAACTGGATTATTAAATATGCAATCATTAATATGAAGTATATACAGTAGGAAATCCATTATTGTAGTCATTTCCTACTGTAAATAAGATAAATAAATAAATTTAATTAAATTTTTCAAACTTTATGCAGAATTTTTCAATCTTGGATTTTGCATTGATGAAGACATTTTTAATTAATGTTTTTCTAATTTTTGTGAATTTTTTAAAATACTTACTGTACATACTTATTTTCATTCACTTTTGAAAATTAAAGTAATATATTCATTTTTAATTCTCAAATATTGATGATAAACCATTAAGAAGAGAGAGTTTTTCAACACTACATTTTGCTGTAGCTTGTTAAAACTGATATAAATTTTGTTTAAGAGTATCAATATATTAACAAGTAGAGTTTCAACAACACCAGAACATTTTATAATTTTTTTTTGTATAATATTGATGAAGAAATCAATGGTTAAAGCTGTTAAATGGAACATTTGCTTGGGTATCACATTCTCATCTTACACCACCTTGGCTAAATGATTGGGATACTTACTCTTTACCTGGAGATACTGTCATTTATCAGGTAATTTTATTCAATTTAATTAAAAAACATGCAAATTCTTTTTTGTTTATGAATGTTTAATTTTTAAAAGTGATTATTCATTATTTAAAGTAGTTTTTTATTTTATTGTAATATTTACAGAAGGAAGTAAGAGATTTATCAATTAAACTTGTAGCAAATAAAACATGGAATTATTGGATGGCTTCAGCAAATCCTGGCGAAGATAATAGAGGATGTGCGGGATGGGGACAAATGCTTAAATATGTACCACGAATATGGAATAATGTGTATGTAAAGTATATAAAGTAAACAGTGTGCTGTCTGTAACATTTTTCATTAGAAGGAGACTATGATTTCTATTCTTTGGGAATTTGGTATGACTATTATCAAGGATGACTATTAATGAAATAAATCCAATAACATTTTCATTTTATTATTATTTGAAGAACAATGCAATACTCAATGCACACACTTTATTTTAACATATGGTAAAAGTGACAATACTGAATAGAATGTGCAATTATTCAATTTATAATAAGCCTATCTTCCTCCAAAAGATAGCATTCTTACTATTAGAGGCACTTACTATAACTTTTTCATATCATAGCTGTGTTGTTTATTAGAATAAATATCAGTCCAATCGGCTTAAGGGCCAACCTTAAGCCGATTGGACTGATTGCTTCCATTTGGGCTTGTGCCTAAGAGGCCCCTGCACTAGAGTGTAATCTCCTCTGGCTTATCAAGTACACACAACAACAGGAAGTAAAAAAGGGACTTTGGATATAATTTCCCCAAAAGCGGTGGTGAAGCTGCCCAATGGGGTGGTGATTGTACCCAACATTTGATTATAGGAAAAAAAGAATTAAAACATAAACGAAAGAAAATAAAACCACCCAATCACATGTTTCCTTGCCTATTTATAGTCTTTTAGATCTACTTAGGCTTGACTTTAATAGATTGGCTGCACGTGACCTTCTTGATAGAAGGCCACATGCAGCCAATTTGGTAAACTTGCTGACACATTGTGATGTCTTAGATTTGGCAAAATTCCCTGACTCAATAGGCTGATATTCAGAATCAAGTATTTAAATTTTACAAAAGGGACAGGGCCTCAGTTTCATTGAGTTTACTCCACATTGTTAAAAAACATTTTCTTTGACACGTTGACTGACCAAATTTTCTAGAGGTTGTCAGACATATGTTTGTTTCCATTGCATGGTCCAAGTTTCCCTTCCATCAAGTGTAAACACAGTTGACTGAATATTATAGATCTCAGTGATTTTTCTGCAAGCTGATTAATTTTGTGTTGTGGACCCATAAATGAGGTAAGTTTTAGTGACCAAGATATAAATCATATATCTGAAATATGAAGTCACTGATTTTTAGAAGATTACTGTAAAGAGCAGTACAAAAATAAATTAATATTTTTAATAAATTATTTCATAGTCACTAAAGCAAATGATGACGTAATTATGTACTGTACTTTTCACAAGTGATATACGAATTTTGTTATTTGTAAGCTTACATCTATGCAATTTTATATTAAAATGTAGCTTATATCTGTTTGGTCTATTAACTTGCATGCATTTTTTAAGTGCACATTTTGATTGATTTCCATACCCGAGGCCCGCAAAAATTGTTCCCAATTGGGCCGTGCACCTCCTAAGGCTGGCCCTGATGGTATAAATACACACATACACACACACTTGGGTATGGAAGCTATTAGCAGTTCTGGTACATGGCAATCTAGATTTTTTTTTATTTCCTTCCTTCATGCTCTTGAAATTACTCAAATGAGTTTTCTAGACTTTATAGTTAATGTTATAATACAGACTTCAGTCTGATTCACGAGGCTATAGCCCTTGCTTCCTCTTTCTTGTTGGCTCAGTATATATTTTATCAATATTATATTCTAATTTTTTGGTTAAATAATCATTATATTACAGAAATACATATGATGTCCAATGGCAGTGTAATCTTAATTCTTCTGCTAATGGAATACTGATTCCCACAATGAATGATTATAGTGGTATTTCATGTTTGCAAATCTTACAGAATTTTATTATTTTTGAAAAAAAAAAACTTTAATATATCATTTTATTTAAATTCTAGAAGCCACTGTAATACTTCCAATTGCCAAATATGGTTTTTCTGCATTGACATCAACATTAAAGTATAGTAGCTTATGGAAAAATGAAAAATTTGACTATCGTGGATTAAAACTTCCAGCAAAATGGTTTAAGATAAAAAAAGAAATTAATTTCTTAAAACATAGTCATTCAGTTAATGGTAAGAAAAACTGAAATTTTTATTGGATTTATTAAGTTTTGAAACTTTTAAACATAAATATTTTTATTTGCTTCATATTATAGTTTCAAATATTGTCAAAATTCTTAAGAAATCATTTAAATTGATTATCCAAAAAGAATACAAATTCAGTGATATTTTACTTCAGCAGTTGAAGTAAGTACATTAGTCAGTATATTAAATGTAAAATATATAAAGAATATTATGATGTGTAGAAGAAACACTAAATTAAATAAATGTTGAATGTTGCCCCGGAAATTAAATTAAATTTCCGGGCAACATTCACCAAAGCTATTAACAGACAATTGTTAGATCCCAATGGGATGAAGAAGGGGGAAAATAAGAAGACACTTTTATCTTTTAATGTAGTGTTTCTTCTGTGTGTGTCATAATTAATTGTTGTCCAGATATTTATATTTTTATACAAACATTGCTAAACCCGATATATAATAAAGCTACACACCAACTGAATGCCGAAAATCTATCGGGCTAGTATAAGGCTAATTATTAAATTTAATAATTAGCCTTATACTAGCCCGATAGATTTTCGGCATTCAGTTGGTGTGTAGCTTTATTTATATTTTTAGTTATAAATGATTATGTTCTTTTTTTAAAGGCTTAAAATTGATAGAATAAAGGAATCAATTCCAGTTATATTCAAGACATTATATGTTCCCAGTAAAGAAATATATTCTGTGAAGTCAACTATTAAATTAAATAATAGTTATATGATTGATTATCATCATCCTCTCTTTTTACAAATGAATGACAAATGTGCATCACTTCTCCAAAATAATCTGTTTAAGGTAAGTATGTAAATTATTTCAGAATAAGAGAAATGTAATTATTCATTACTTGAAATATTTCAGGGTATGTTGACTTTTGATTATTATTCCTTTGCGTCCCAATATTCTGTTTTACGTGTGGAATCGTCAACAAATAGGAGAAAGAAGGGTTCATTACATGTATCTATTAATAGTAAAAAGCCAGACAAACTAGAATATGGAGATTTTAAAATTGTTTGTAAATTAATGCAGCAAAATGGTGGGTAAATTTTATAAATTACATTATTTTATTATAAAGTTAAACTGTGAAAATTTTACTTGTTTTAGGTAAGTGGTCACATGCGGCAGTCGAATTATTTTGGGAAAATCAGTCATGGAATCATAATGGTCCTCATTCATCAGATATCATCTTCTTGTCCGAAACAAAAGACAGTTTATTTCTCATTAAAAATATTTCTTTTTCATTTTTTATTTATACATAGAAAATTAAGTTTATAAATATAGTTTTATAACAATTTTAATGTAAAGTTAATTGTTTAATAACGATGAACTAGCCACTGTAATTACTTGGCCGAATTGATCAATGCAGTGGGGAAGTTAAAGAACATTGTTTTTGACCCCGTTAATGGGCTATCTTCGGAGGAGAGAGGTTTGAGAGAGTGATTAATGTTTAAGAAATAGAGAACAAATGACTGTTTCCCAGAACAATAAATTTCCTTTCCCATATCCTGTGGCTATTAAAGAATATAAGTTGTTATTAAACTGTTCATTTTTAAATTATTTTTAATCTTGAATTATGCAGTAAATTTTCCATGTTTATTTATTTATTTAGAAATTACATCGAATTAGATTATATTTTAAAAAATTGTAGTAATTTCGTGTAAAATTCTTTATTTATATTACACCCAGGATTTATCAGATGTTCATCAATTTTGTATTTAAAAATCTAATGATTCAATAAAAATAAATTGTTTAAATATGGCAGGGGTAGTTTACAAGTTGAGCTGTACTTGTATAATTTTGTATGGGACACAGAGCCGGATTTAAGCATTTCGAGGCCCTAAGCTCAGGTCCTTCACGTTTTTAAAAATTTTAAATAAAAATTTATGTTACAAAATTTGACTTCAGTTTTCTTTTTTGTAGAAATTTTTGAGTTCTTTGAAACTCGAGGCCCTAAGCAAAAAGGTAAACATAGTTTACTTGTACTGTACAGAACAGCTCAATACGTGGACGATCTGCTGAGGATATGCCTCCCGGGAAGACTTTGAATGGGAAATTGGCCCCAATTGGTTATTAACGCAAATAGAACCTAGAAAAATCCACATAACCAGAACATTCTATCATTGTTCGGTGGTTTCATCCACTCGGCCACTAGTGGGCTGTATATTAGTATAAAATATAATTTATTTAATTTAGTGTAAGTTTATTCAATCTTCTAAGAAGTAATTAACAATAGAAATTTTGATTGATCGTATTAGAAAGAAAATTCGGTCGAATACAAATCTTCATCTTTCATTTATTGTTCAAATTTAAGACCTAGGAAATATAAATTAAAACAATGCATCAACGACTTCGCACATAATTTTTACAAAATATATAATAAAAAATTAAATAAAACGAATAAAATTTGTTTAGATTTGCTCATAGACCTAACCTTTAGAAAATATTTTAAATTGATTAATAAGGACGATTGTAATGTTTTTTTTTTTTTTTAAATTTAATACAGTAGAGCCTCGAAAACTCGGCCTAATGTGGACCGAAGGGTGGCCGAGTTTGTGAAAATGCCGGGTTATCGGGAATGGGGTTAAAAAGAATAAGACTGTGGAGTCCTCAGAAAATACTGTACTGTACTTGTATGTATTGTCTGCTTGAGAATACAACAGAGAATAAACTGCCCAAATACCCTTAAACAAAGGAAAAGTACGTCCTTTATGAAGGCATAGAGCCTTTACTACATGAAAATGAAAATTAATGAATACACTGTGTACAGTAATTTACCTGATAAGACAGACCTCAGAAAAATACTTTATGAGAGCTTTTATACTTTTATAAAGCTGTCTATAATGAAAATTAATTAACTAAGGATTTTTTTGCCCTGCCAGGGTGTGGCCGAGTTATCCGGAGTGCCGAGTTTTCGAGACTCTACTGTATTAGTTCTGTAAGCACTAAGAGTGCCTTTTTAGCCGGGTCATTATGAGGTCTACAATGGGGTAGCCGAAAGGTGAGGGACGAGGACCGACGTATCCGGACGGATAATCCACCGAAAAATTCCCGGTGCTCTTCGATCCGTCGGCATTCGATTTCGGGTCCCCAGAACAGTAGGTCGACCCTTAATCTCTGGGCCTTGTTTTCAATATTTATAAGAAATATTACAAATAAAATGAAGTACTAATTACAGATGTACCCTGTTCGTCAAATCTTGAATTTCCATTTCTAATATCGGACAAAGTTCGGCCAGTAAACAAATAATTTCTTTTATAATATCATTTACTTTTTGAAGATCGATTTTCATTACGATGACGTTTTCATTTGGCAATGTACTTTCTTTAATTGTCTGGATAGATTTATCTATCGTCGCACACGTTTTATTTTCCTTTGCATACTCAAATTGTTTTTCGTGTGCAATTTTTGGAGCTTTAACCTTGGTGTTTCTTGTTCTCAGTTCTTCGGGAAACTTAAAAAGTTTTTTAGAAATATTTTCTACCGATTCGGTCTTAAATCGTTGACACTGATCTTTGACAAAGTTCTTAAAAGATTTCAAATAGTTGGGAGAACTTTGGCACTCTAGATTTCCATTTGGTGCTTGATTTTCTAACATGTGATAAGGTAGGTCCATCTATGTTTAATATAATTAAAATGAATTTTAAAAAATCCGAAAAATCACATAATTTATAACATTTACAAATAAATCACGCATTTTTTTTTATTTAATTAATATAATGCTGCTCAAAACTTTAGGAAAAGACATTATTTCTATTTTCACTAGAACTAAGCATCAGATGTACAGCTTTCTAGGATTTGGTCCTACACTCAAAAAAGGCATCCGGGGAGATACGAATTAATAGTAATCTTAATTAACAAATCTCATAATGTAAATGAAATAATAAGAGAACCTATGCATTACGGAAAGAAGAATTCAGGTGAAAGATCTTCGAAATTAACACAGAAGTAAAGCAAGAATAATTAGATCTGTCTCATAAACTGGATGTTATGCAAGTTCTATCCGATTTCTAACTTCCTGTTAGTAGTATCTTCGGTGAAAAGAGTAATGTGCTTAGTTTGGACTTAACGAAAACAATATCAAAATTGGCAATCATTTAATTGTCATTTCCTTGCTGCAAAATATTGCAGCAAGGAAATGACAATTTGTTAAAGAAAACACGGTTACAGATTGGAAATTCATTGTCTTCGGTGGTAAAAAAAAAAAAAAAATTAATTTGGATGGCTTTTTAAGTACTGTATTATAGATACGATTTAAAGAAAGAACTTAACACTGTGTAGATGGTACGAGGTGTAATTACGGTTTGAATAGGATTTGTGTTCGGTGGTACAAGAGGAATGACATTTCTGAAGAGAAACTAAAATGTCAATTTACTTACTATCAATGTTTTTATTACCCTCAGTCCCTTTGCTTGTGGGGAAAGAGTGGATCTTCATTTCCATTCATACTAATATGACCAAAGGATGGAATAGAAAGCGAATAGTCCACACTAAAATTTCATCGACAGCTTTTGGGATAACCAATATAGCATTTTACCGATTTGAAAATGTTTCGCGGTTAACGGAGCAAAATTAGCATCGATACTCTTCAAAAGTCAATCGCCATCTGATGCTTAGTTCTATTAGGGATAAGCATTACTTCCTATTTTCATAGAAAGTAATGCTTGTCCCTGAAGTTTTTGGCTTCACTGAGTAAAATCAAAGTTAAATTTTTCATAATTTTTGTTTGCTTGCAAATCTATTGCAATCATTCGATCTACTAACCCCAGACGGCTGGCTGTTCCTTAAGTCAATATTTTGTATTTTATAACAGGAGTTTAACCGCGTGTAAGTTGCTTTCGACGAATTCCAGGTTGAGAAATAACTTCGAACGACAGAAAGCTTGAAAAGTTAAAAAAAAAAAAAAATTATTTTTATACAGGAGTAATATCTAATGGAAAGAACTATTATGAATAATATTTTCGCTTATAATTATCGACTTTTTAAGTCACCAAGTTAAGTTTTTAACTATAAATAACTTTGTATTGTTAATTATAAATAAATTTGTGCGTGGCACCATCTGTTATTAAGTGCAAGCAGTAAAAAATAATATAAGCTTTTGTTACTTGTTTATCTATTTGATTCATTTTTCTACTCAGTGATTTATTTCTTCTTGCGTCTTTTGCTGCTTTTTCTTCTAATCTATAAAGCACTGACATAAATTTACTGTTATTCTTACTTTTATTTGTAAGTTAACATATTTACCTTCTGATTCTGTCATTTAAATTTTGAATGAGATGAAAAATTTCGTCTTGAATCTTGCAACTATCATTAATAAATCTGTTGGTCGACGGTAGAGATGATTCATCGGATTCTTCTTTGATAATGGGATTGGTTGTACTCGCTTCTTTATTTCTAATTTTTTCCGAATTAAATGGAACATCAAAAGTGACGTGTTTTTCGGGGGTTAATTTGTAAAAATTCTCTACAATATCTGAACTATTCTGAAAACTTCCTTCGTTTTCTGAGTACGAGAAATCGAATTTGTTCTTTTCATTGTCTTTAACGTCATTATCGAGACGAAACTTTGTCGAGTATAAATTTTCATTTATGTCTTGGGAAATTGCTAATTCCGATTTTAATATCGGCTTTTCTTCTGCAAGATGAAGAACAATTCCAGATGGATTTGTATTGAAAAATAATGAAAAATAAACCAACTTACTTTGTAAATTAAATGCTTGTTTCGATTCCCTTGGTGGACGGTAACGGGTGGAATGTAAATAGTCTTTAAAATTCCCATCAGTTTCCGGAAAATTGCGTGTAGTTTCCTCTGCTGTCGGGCAAATATTCTTGTACGAGGATAGAGATTGAGTAGATTTTTTCATATCACAGTGACAGCCAGAGCGTCGTCGTCCGTGACAACAGTTTTCTTTAATGATGCATGGCACTTGGCATAATTGAGTTTCGGAAGTAATAAGAGATTGTGAGAAAGGACGAATCCGAATGCTTTTCACAGAACGTGTAAAAGGATTTTCCGGTGTTTTTTCGTCATATTCATCAAAACCCAAATTGACTCTTCCGAATAATCCTGTATTATTCATTTTTCTCTTCGCTTGTTTTTAATCTGTCACTTTGATTCTTTAAAAAAAACGGAAATTTGGATAGAATGCACTTCTGTCCGATTATGATTTTGGTAATTATTGTTTTATTTTCATCTTATTAGTTGCCATTCTAACAATAGTTCATATATTTAACAACAATATAATTAATTATCATTATTATTTTGGTAGTTTGGGTTACTATTTACTGTAAAATGTAATAAAAAAATTAATTTCTCAATTCAAATCTTTCCTTGTAAAGTAAAACAATAATTATAATTCCTAGCTTCCTTTATATATGACTTGACAATTTCAAAGCAGAAAAATCTGAAGTTTGAAGTTAAGTATAGGATTATTTATTAGTGTTACAGAAAAGAGATTTTAATGAGTAACCGATCGGCAGTTTTTAAGTAAACTGCTAATGGTTTAACTTAACAAGAGTAATAGAAATTAATTAGTTGCAGATTGTTCCTCTTTCACGGCAACGGGAGTGGGGATTCTCTGTACAGTTATAGGAATCGCTCATTCCTTAAAGGCCAATTCTCGACATTTTTTGGAAGCTTCCACTATCAAGACTCCTTCTGGACCGAGCGATGAACTAATGCTTTCTGGATCCACTTCTTTAGGAAGTACGTATCTTCGGATGAATTCTCTGGAAATGAATGCGTGCCGGAAGTCTTGAAGATTCTAGTATCACACATGCTAGAACAGGTTGTCTCGGAAACAATCGAAGCGCCGCTCTTTATGGAAGTTCTGGATTATGGGGAACTGGAGCGCAAAGATGAATTACACGTGCGTTTATGTAAAATTTACTCGACGGCTCATTGACATTCTGGGTGGATCCTGCGATGGTAATACGTCCGGATAAAAAGGAGACTTCGATAACGTTTCCCTGGCCCCACGCACTAACGACGGCGAGAAATGGGGAACTTGGGCCACGGCACAAAGCGGTCGACTTCGACATTTTTTTCTGGGCCCCGGACAATAGCTGTCGCGTTGGTCCCATCGCTGGGCCGCTCGTCTTCCTACGTGGGATAACTGCGGACTCTGAAATTACGGAGGAATTGGTCGACGAAGGGGACTGCGACCCGGAGCGATTCGTTGGCGGAGGTCAGTGCGTGTTTGGACGAGCCGACGGATGTAACCACGGACGGTCAAGCAAATCTAACGGGGAAAAACGTTGGACTTTTGAAGAGAATGCGGCATAAAGTGACGGAAACGGACTCCGAACGAAAACTGTAAATCTTGCGTTGTATTATACGTCGGGAAGTGTCGTGCACACTTGTCCAAGCCCGAAACAGACTCGATTTTCCTTGCGGAGTGAAAAAAGTGAACCGAAAGGCATTCCGAGGATTTATTACTTTTGTATTAAATTAATTGTGGCCCTTTGGAAAAAATAATTACCCAATCCTATTCTAATCCGTCTCCTAAAACTGTCGTCCTAGTCCAAATCTTCGACAATGCCATCGTAAAATTATTTTTCTTACGATTTATACGATACGATTTATAGTTAACCACTTTTCTACTTGTAAATTATTTTAACTATTTTCAATTTTGCTCCATTTTATTGACGGGCACATCAAAACAACGTTAAGACGATTTAAAATTTATATTAGCCATTCTACTTATTAGTTCATCTGCATTTTTAATAGTGAAATTAGAATTAGGTAAGTCACGTAATCTATCTCTTACGAATAATTCTAAATTGTATACAATTGAGTTCTTAAAGTCTACTAATAAACGACATTTATCACCTTCTTTGTGCGTTTTTAATCATATTGCTTCCCTGGAGGGACTTAACAGTGCGTCCGGGTGTCAATAGATGGCAGTGGATACAATAGTAGCATTACCTAATCGTTGTCGTACTTTAATAATATCTTAGAAAATCTGATTGACATTAATTAATTAACTTAATATCAACATTATGCGGAAGTAATGACTGTAATTCTGGTTGCATTTCAATATTTTTCACAAATGTATCAAAATGTTAAAAGCAATGGCGTGCCGTCATTAGAAGGGGTGAATGCGCCGTTTCCCTTGTATTTTCTAAAAAATGAATACATATTGTGCGATTATTTTCATATAACTAAAATTAATATTTTATTATAACTGCATTGTGTATCTCATTACAAATTTCTATACTACGTGTGAAAAAAAACGATAAGATCGCTATTGTATATTCGAATATCAGTGGAGGAGGAATGGAAGCGATGTATTGTCAGCTTCCAAATAGCCAGATTATACTCAATCGCGCATGCTCTTTACAGAGCGCCAACCTCATCCGGTTAAGCTGGTGGAAGCAACACACGTATAACGTTTCCAATTCTATCCGGGACCAGTTCTGGGGTCATATTCTGGTCACTGTCTCCAGAGCCGGCCCTACCACAGGGCGAACAGAGCAGCCGCTCCAGGCGCTAAGTTTTAGGTGGCGCCTCAGTGTTAGAGTAGAGGGTATAAATTAGGGGCCACCAAGGGGGCGCCATAATAGGATCTCGCTCCATCCTAAAACTTGCCTCGGGCCGGCACTGACCGTCTCTGATCTCTCATCTCTCACAAGCTGGTCGCTGATTGGCTAATCATTTGGATTAGCCAATCAGCGACCGGCTAGTAAGAGACGAGAGACCAAAGACGGTGACCAGAATACGACCCCTGGGCTGTTAGCCGCCTGCCCGCTAGATATTTGGCCGCCCTCACCCGATTATATGAATAACGAGTAGATTTATAACTTAACCCAACCGATAAGAATTTACTGGTATGTTTTTATGATCGTTCTGTATAGTTGACAGGAGTTTAAAAAATCCATTAAAATATTTGATATTTTTATTCCGCTTTCCAATTTTATATTACTCACGGATTTCAATGTTAAACCGGTGATATTACGATTTCGTATATCCCATCTTTAAGGGGATGTAGAAAAAAACATGTACGATTCTTGTACAATGTTAAAAAATTAACTGTTACTTTGGCAGTGTCATTTACAACTAAATTTAATGAACGAGAGAGATGCACGAGGTACAGTACAGAAAAAGCTCTAGAATTTATTTTCCTTAAATTTATGATTTATGTATCCGTTGTCATAAGAATTATTTCTTTCCACTTTTTTCCCGAGACTATAAATATTCATGTACAGTACAAAGTAACCGGTTTCGACTTATTTCTACTTAAGAAGTAGTTAAATAATTAAGTTTAATATATTTAGATTTTTACAGCTATGGTGAGAAACGTACAAAATACGTTTAAAATGTACAAAAACCCTGTCGCGTCCTTTGAGGTATACGAGTGATACGACAAAAGAGGCATTTGACATTGATCGGTATCAGCACCCTCGGGATTTGACAGTTCGCGTGCCGTGCAACCTACTCTGATTCCATCCATTAGCCACTCGTAGAGAGCTATTTGACTAGATCAGTGGTTCCCAATTAGTTTTTCCTGCGTACCACTTCAAGAAAGAGCTCAAACTCGCGTACCCCTTATAGCAGAAATTCATATTAATCCATACTAATATTATAAACTCGAAGGTATTGCTGTCTGTCTGTCACCTTTTCACGTCTAAATTGCTGAACAGGTTTTAATAAAATTTGGCACAGAGATAGCTTACGTGTTGGAGATGGACATAGGCTACATCTTACTGCGAGAAAATACCTTACTTCCACGAGAAAATTCGATATAATGCGGGCGAAGCTGTGGGTAGACAGCAAGTGATAAATAGAATAAGTTTTTTTTTACATTTATTACCTTTAAAATACAATTCTAATACAGTAATAATGAAAATAACATAAGGTTATTTAATTTTAACGTGACAAATGTGCACGATTTTCTTTGCACAACTTTGTAAAATCTGGTTGCTTTTTGGTCAGCTACAGTCTCGAGTCATCTTCGAGTTGAAGTCGGTGACGACGTTTAGTTTTCACGTTTGTCATGCCCGAAAATCCGCTCTCGCAGAGGTATGTTGTGCAAAATGGTAGTAAATATTTTATTGCTGCTTCACTGACATGATAATAATGATAATTATACAATTTTTATTTCTTGCGTAAGAATTTAGGTATTGTCACAAATGCATTTTTTTAACAATGAAATTTCGAGAATGTTTTTAGTTATAAATAAACGAATTTGTGCATTCCACATCGTGTTGTAAATTGCCAAATTTTTGATGGTCCAACCATTATTTTTTTTTTGATTGTTTCATCTCATGCATTTAAATTTTAAATCGGCCGATTTTAGATCCGCGCGTACCCCTTCATGCAATTTCGCGAACCCCCGGGGGTACGCGTACCACTAATTGGGAACCACTGGACTAGGTGGATTGTTTTAAGATTTAAAAAGAAAATAATACAGTCGACCCCCATAACACTGTTGATAATTCTGTGTTATATGAATTTCATGTTGTACGAGTCACTTAGATTTTACAAATACCTGAGCTGTTCACAGCACGGCACGCGTATTTGTAAAATCCAAGTGACTCGTACAACGTGGAATGCATATAAAACGGAATTATCAACAGTGTTATAGGGGAAACGACTGTATTTTGTTATTTTTATGTACGTTTCTTTACAAAGCTATATTTAATTATAATTTTCTTTAAAAGTATATTCATGCAATTGAATATTTTGTACCAGGTACAGTACGTATAATTGTATCCATCACACATTTTACCAAGTATGTTTTTATTATTTTATTTTTAATTGTAGCCCTTAGATCCGTAAAGTAATATAAGATGGGAGAGCAGAATAAAAATATCAAATATTTTAATGAATTTTTTAAAACTCCTGTCAACTATACAGAACTATCATAAAAATATACCAATAAATTCCTATCGGTTGGGTTAAGTTATAAATCTACACAATTACATTCTGAATCGCTAGCTACGATTCAGAATGTAATTGTGATATGAAAAATATATTTAGAAGTCTACGGTTTTTACTGGCTTATCGAACAAACGAATACGAATGGACCCTAGACCATCACGCGCAATTAACTGATTGCCCCTGGAAGCCGGCTTCTTACAGAAACACAGCTTCCCTATCATCAAATGTCACGGCACACCACTGGTTAAAAGATACAAATGCGACACTATGAACGGTGACAAATTTCTTTACATTGGATTTAGGACGGCCGAATCCATAAAAATGTCAACTACGGCTCGAGGGACCCGAGTTTGAATCCGAATAAAATCCTCAGAAATTTTTGTAGGTGTTTTAAGTCTGGGTATGCCAGTCTCTGGTTTCGATGGGTAAGAATACGAACTATAGGGAGAGGGCAGATAGTAGCCTTAATTCGTGGCTATATCTGTCCGAAAAGAGCTAGAATATACTACATAGAGTGACTGTAGCGACGCCATGTTGGAAGAAGATTAAATACACCTCCGCCATTTTAATTTTAATCAAGGGAATTCATTTCTAAACAATTTTACTTTCC